TAATAACAGACCTATTCCAATATTTGTAGATTTGTCATGATATAACTGCCTAATCTATAAGATCTTACGACGAAGTTACATCATCGTCTATACCAACTCACTACATCGTAACAATTACCAATACATGATTGAGAACACGATTAGGCTAGAGGTACAACAATATATATAATATGAATAAAAGATATAAGGTAACATTCAGCAGGGACCACGCCTGCAAGTCCGAGCCATGCCATCCAATCCACTCGAATTAATTCGATTCATTTTTCCCGCCTTCCTCATCTTTAGGTATTTCTCCGAAATAAATATTGAATATCTATTTCCCCAATTGTCTTGTGTTCAGCTTTGAGGATTGTTTGGTTATGGTCCAATGCCACTACAGAACTACCTTTTGGCTATCTTGCCACTGAGTTCAATTCTAATGTGTATTCTTAAATTGGTTTTTCTGCATTCAGTGATGCGCATGCAAATGCGTGATTGTATTAAAGCGTGATTGTAGTCCAGACAGGTATTCCAGAACGAGCGACAGTCTTCTATCGAGCCTCTTCTACGATTATTGATGGCAATGTGGTCTATTTGAGTCCATCTTTGGTTTGGTGCAGGGGGTCGCCATATTAGACGATATCTCTCCTTATGCTTAAAATTGATGTTTGCTAAAAATAAACGATTGTCTAAGTACAGCTGCAGCAGACGTTCACCATTATCTGGTCGCTGATCCGAAATACCAAAATACCCACCTAAATGTCTTTTTGTTTGGTTTACGTTACCTACATGGGCATTGATCTCACCTGCTACAAGTAATATGTCTGAACGTTTAGCTTTTTGGAGGAAATACAGAATGCTTTCTGCGGAGTTCATTTTTCACTTAATCCTGACTGTAGTCAGTGTAGGAGTAGGAAGAAATGACGAAAAGTCAGTGACCTGTGTCCCTATCCTTCCGAATTCTCACAGAGCTGTTTAATCAAACAACACACAGGCGACTGTTTATAGGGATCCATTCTAATAGTGCTTGTTCTGCCCGCATACTTGGTGCTACGTTCGCACCCACCAGTCCGCTAGAATTTGTCGTTCAGTCGCCAGATACACGGAGTGTGTATCTCGTCAGTTCCTGTTTTGGCCGGGTGAGGTCAAGTGAATGATCGCACTGGGATCTTGTGTGCGTGTTTTGGAGAAACAACATACACCAATCGTACAGGGCTGTAGGACCCTAGTCAAGGGGGCCGATTTGACATAGGATATATACGTTGAAGTCTTCAGTGCTTAGGGGGAGCAGGAGGAATTTTCTCGTTGATAGTCGAGGTGGGAGGAGCAGTGGAAATTGAGGAGGAAAAGTGGTTATGAATACATTGGTCGTGAGTGCCGTTAGAGATAGAATGGTGGACATCAATTCACGATTGTCCACACCGTGCAATGGTCCTTCTAAGGGTACGTGAAAAGTACATGGGATTATGGTTGGTTTTTGTGGCCTGAGAGCGTGAAGGCAGTGCTCAAAGGACAACTGCTTGAGGCCAGTCACATATGACCCTTTTGTGGGTAATTTTTGTGTTAGCTCCATACTTGTCGAGATTTAACTGCTGACATGAAAATCCGTGGGATAAGAGGAGATGTACATGTTTAGGGACGACTTTTGCAAACCCCATCATTCTTTTGTGGGAGGGAAGCATGGCTGTTATGTTGGTTGTTTGAAGAAAACGCCTTACTGGCATCATACCACTGTACAGTCAGCAGTACTATTTCGCCTTCGGACCTTGGGTTTCTTGCTTTTTGTCTTACCGCTCTTCAATCGATCTGCTTCACATGGTAGGACGTTGAGTAACGAGAGTTCTAGCTGTATTGCTCGATCAGTTCATCACGGAAAGTAAGCTTGACTGCCGCGTCAAGGTAGCAGCGACGGTCGGGCATAACATAAGATGCAAAACAAACACTTGCTTTAATCTAAGTTTTGACCTTCGAATAGCATCGAGCCCTCTACTTTGACTCTTCTACCCCATGTCCATGTTTCCAAACTATTTCTCCAATCAGTATGTTGCTAGTTTATTTTCTATTATTTTCAAGAAAACCTTAAAAGCTCGTGACTCTTGTTGTCTAATCAGACGTAGGAAAAGGACACGACCTGACACGACTGCCGATACAATTTTCAAACGTTTTATCGACTAGTATTACCTGGTTTACACTGGAGCAGATATGCATAAGTCAGTTATTGCCAATTCAGACATTCCTAAGGCACTCACATTGGACGATAATCACAACAGTCATTTCAAACATAAGGATGAGATTAGAATGTTGCAAGTTAACGTGAAAACTCCAAGTCTGCTTATGTTTCTTATAAACGTTGACCTCACCAAAATTCAGGTTCATCCGAGTGCTTTAACGGATTTTCATTTTATTTTTTCAATTGCTGGTTTCCTTCTGAGGTTGATATTCATTATACAATTATTATTCTTATCATGGATCAAAACTTTTCACTAAGTGTTCACTTCTTTTCTCTCTTCTTTCCCTCTAAATAAATATTATTCTTAAGATTACGAAGTTTTTAATTAAAACAATAACTTGTGTTACACTTAAATTAAATTCTCAGACCCGTTTTATCTTCACTATGCATATATGACTCATACATATTGATATTTTATTATCCTTTTCATTTAATTGAGACTTTCATAGCATCACTCTAAACTATAACTGCACAAACATTTATTCTAGCGTCATATCTTACTGCAATTATAAGTTTTTTTCTTAATTATTTTTTGTTACTAATTTAACGATACACACATAGTCGTTTATTCTTGTTCTTTGTTCATAAACACGCCTATTAGACTGTTTACGTATTTCACGTCTCCTTTATTTCTATTCCCTTATTTTCTCCATTTCCTTCTTTAAACTCAATTCAATATTCTTCTCAATTGCACAGACCCGATTTATTATTATTAATATTCTACTATTATTGCTCCAATTTTTTTAAAATGGCAAGTATAATGCTGACATTATTGAAAATTGTGTATTATTGCATTTTTTGAAGAAACCCGAAATGGTTTCTTCACAACGCTTATGTACCCATAAGATGTTTGTGAATAATAATAATAATAATAATAAATGTCACGATTGGTTTCCTGGACTCTTTTGTCTCATAAGTGATTGAAAGAATAAGACGATCCAGAAATGCAATCATATGCAATATGTCGGACATCCATGTATTAAGATCTATGAAGTCTAAGTCTGCAATAAGACACGTATTATTTGTGTGCGCACGACTAAATTGACATTTTGATAAGCATTTACGGATATTGTCCGAATTCATCAAGTCTGTAGAAGCAAGTGAATTTCTGAATTTCCCGAATGCAATGAGACGAAAACCGATTTTCACGAATGCTCAAAGTCTACGAAAAGCCAGAATAACTGGCTACAGATCATTATCGCCAAGGTGCCACATCAGTCCGAATAATGAGAATCATAAAACTAAGGCTGATACGAGAAGAATCTCTGAGTACACAGATATGTCACCACTGATATGTTCCCCCAAATCTCTTGAAATTCTAACACAGAAGAAGCCACTATGTCAACGATGCTCTCTCTCCCCAAAAGTGTCGACTTAGATCAGACCATAAGGTTTTCCTGACAAGTACTCAGATAATACCCCTGAAATTTCCATTAGTGTAACACCCAATGCCAGTAACCGGGAAACGACTAGCGCCAGAACGATGCCAGAAGTACTAAAAACAATCATATACCAGACATAGGTATGTTTGAACCTTGGAAACAGCCAGAATCATGCCTAATAACATTGAATTCTCCACAAATTGCAAAGTAATCACGAAGAACGACAAACCTTGTAAACATAGTTTTGGAACAAGCTACACGCACGTCAAATACAAAAATACCTCGAATTGCAGACTATTATTTAATAGGGCCCATCGAACCAATAGCCTTCTTGGTCTGGAGCCCATGATGTTGAAGATGGCACAGGTATTCAGTGTTTGACAACGCTTCTACCAGCAACACCTAATATAATTCGTACCCATCAAGATATATCAAAAGACAGAGTAGAGGAGATCGGAAGAATGTATTTGGCGATAAACAGTATATCGGAATTCTCTGATCTAATCTGGCTAGCGATTGCGGTAGATGTTGAGCACAGCGTTACCACACGTGATCTGGTGCGGATGCATGACCGAGCGCCTTCAGCTAGTTGAGTCCACTAAAACATATGGTCAGCATCCAATGTTGAAAAGTTACAGAGCTATTTATTTTGGGGATTTATTTACCGCTACAATTTCTACAATGCCTGTATGAGATGTTAGATACAACAAAGATCAGGAGAGATGTTTTACAGTTTTGCCAGCTTCCCTGCCTATGGCGTTAAGTGTGTTACAAGTGATGACAAAATTACTGAATTCATACCCCCTCAAAACAAAATTCATAACTTAACCAATCTCACGAGTATTCACTGATTTGCTACTTATGACCTGCTTTTTCACGACACCTCTCGTTTTCTAACTTTTTCATTTAGTGCCTGCTCTTGCTTCAACAAGATTAGTTATCTTGAAACCCTTTAACGTCTTGTAAATCCAAGCATTTTTCTCACCATGGAGTCGTGGTGCAGACCATATGTTACTAATAACTCCTTGAACGTTGATAAGTACATCTTTTTCCATCCTATAGATACCCTGGAATGAATGGCGTTACAGTTGTTTATGTTCGCCGTTTATAGCGCTAATGAAAACCAGAATGATTTTAAAATTCTTAAGAGAAGACTGGGAAAATCAAAGCTCATAAGCCACAAGCACCACGACTTGGATGCGCTTCAGAACCTAAATAACTTGATTAACAGAAATAATTAGTTCCAACACAAGTATCTTCCGACTGTTGGGACTAAAGCTTTGGGTAAAAAAAGCTCGGACTTATCAATACTTTGCATCTTCAAATCCCGGTCAATATCTAAATCATTTAGTACAACAGCTTGATTTCTAACTAACAGAAATATTGTATCCGACCTTGACGCTATTTATGAACAGTTTCGTGTGAGTGCTTTTCTTATTACAGGGCAACGAAGGGTAAATGTGCTGGAAGAAGAAACTAAACTCTCAAGATGGTGTATGGGAGTATTTTATAAATAAACTTTCCCTTTTCGTACCGGACTACGTGGCTCGATTTTCGAAATATATATGCGTTGTTAACAACGCAAATGCTAGCACGTCGTGTTCTTCCTCCTCACACATTCACTGATCCTGACTTGTGTGCCGTTGTTTTAGATCTTTTTTGCTTCCAAATAAACGCAGGTGACACGTGCTACAATGGTAGCTGTTTAGCCGTGATTTCTTTTCAAATTAAGGCAATTACTTTGTGTTGGGCAATTCATTCACAGTGATATTTATTGATAATAACAATTTGTAACTAGGAACTACTTCAGAAACAGTGCTACACACAATAATCCCGGTATACTAAGTAGCATACTGTTCTGCCGACTTCACTAGACGTTTCTATCCTGAGGGTTTTGGAATATCCATCGGTCTTGTGACTGTCTGTCAAGGAGGCAAATCATTGTTCTGAATAACTTTTCTCGTGCACAGTTAGCTGTGAAATATCTGAATGAGTGACATACAATAGCCTAAGTGTACTACGCGTTGGTAGCGATCTATCCCACTTTGTGGAAGTGAGACGTCATTTAAAAGTTGGACATAAGTCTGTTCGAAGAATTGTTCATTCATAGTTCCGAGGTTAGACGTAATGTATCCAGAGTTTGTATTATTCATTTCCAAACATCAACAAATTCCATGGATCACCATTCATTTGTTATCCAGATTGTAGGTAAAAGTTTACTTGGGACCACACTGGTTAGTTTGGATATCAGTCACATTTCAGCATTGTTACAACTAACTACTATACCACGTACTTCAACGACAAATCCTGTCCGGTATCGCAGGTATCCTGAATCTACATTATGCAAGAACAACTTATGAAGGTATGGAACAGATGTCAGATTTAAATGCTGCTGTAAATTAGGAAACATTAAATCAAATAGCGCTAAATTTGTGACGCTAGTGAGTTCCGCTTTACCATATATGTGCTTATAGAGGTATCCTAAAACCCAATAAGACTATAATCTCACTGAATTCCACAGATATCAAACAGGTTCTGATTTTCCCTCATCAAATGACTGACAATAATCACCCTGACCATTCAGAAAGTATACGAGGAACACGTAAGTAGTTGATAATTAATATTTTTCAGTTTGTATATATATATATATATATATATATATATATATATCGGTAACGTTGTACTAGCTGTGTGATGTATCAATGTGTGTCAGGTTGCTGTACTTCCTATTTGTTCAATTCAAAATAACAAAGAGTTTGTACATAGCGTCTGTTGGTTTTTATTCATGTCCCTGGATCATTGAATCACAGCTACATATGTACATATATGTTGACTATATTTATCATAAATTGTTGGTATTATCAAAGTGCCATAGGGTCATTGTTCAGTTGAATACATTGAGCTACATGGGGTGTTGTGTTTTAAGATATTTATTTACTCAATAATTTTGTGTACGACATGCTAGTTCCAAATCTCAGTTTAGATTATGCAAACGATAGTCTGTTTAGTCCGAAACATTGAGATGAAGAATTCCCTGAAATCAGAAACCTAAGATTCATTTCACATGTATCAAACGTTAAATAATATTGTATTACGAGTCTACACTGACATCACATGACTTTAGGTTGGGAAATGAAGTGGTTAAGTATAAACCTGTTTATTTATTTTGCGGTGCGTTTATCCCAATGTGATTCCTGTAGAGATAGAGGGCTGTGCCTATCAAGTGGGGTTTCGGGATGTTTATCAGTGCACGAGTGTGATGTGCATCGAACCGATTTGCGCTTTAGCAGTGAGACCATACAGTGTATACTCTGAGCAGTGTCATCAGGTGTGATGGTGACCCTAAGTTACACGACTAAAATCCCGACACATGAGCAGGTCTATTCATGTCTTTTATTGAGTCTCAAACCTTATGTTACTTCCCTTATTTGTGATTTTTTCAATTACATCTTTCTAGTTTGTTTTAGTATCTTCTCACCCATGCAGATCTATGTGTTGTTGTAGCATATATTTACTTGAATCGATGGGCTTTTGTTGAGTTCTGTTCCGTCATGTTTGCTCGTTTGTCTTCGTGCAATTATTAACCCTCAATTAAATGCAGTTGATTGGTGGACGCTTCATTATCGTATTTTATGTATGGGCTATGTTGTTAACCTAAGTAATTAAACCCAAACGGACAGTTTCTTTAATGAACCAAAGATTCGACCAATGTTCCTAGTTTACAAAATAGCTGTACAGCGTAAGGGCTATATTCCCTGATGGGGAGCTATTAGAGGGTGTATATTTACATCTACATTCTTACTTAAGCTCGATTGTCTCTTCTGAACAACAGACCGCCGACCAAAGGTCTCTAAACAACTCTACCTCGGGTTCTCCTTCCCAGTTGTTGTCAAGTGTTATTCATTCTTTTGATATGTGCCTCCGATTCCTGGTGCACCGTGATATTTGCTCTATCCATTCCCTTTTGCCTTGACTATTCCAAGTTAATCCTCCCTTTGTGATGGAGTTTGATGATCCTCAGAGTTTATGCCCTACCTATCTCCAACATCGTTTGGTAATTTCCTCATCAGCTGGAAGCTGAATGCTCTCTCATAATCAATGACGTTGATGCTTAGTAATGAGTTCGAGTCAGTTGACTGTTCAACAATAAATTGTACTCATTTGTATCGGTTGTTTGTATATTCTTATTAATGTTGAGGACCGCAATTGACCAGTTTTTTCTGACATATATGCATCCTGTGAGGATTGCTTTGATACTACTATTAAATGATAGGTATTGTAAACAGAGGTCACGGTGTGAACAACTCTGAAATGCTGGTACATCTAATCGATGAGTCCCAAGTAGGACGAAACGCGCGTCGTGAATTTCACTGCTAGGCACCATCCACCTCTGCTTATAATGATTTGTGTTGTCGATTTGTTTGACATATGGTCGGTACTCAAGAAAGCCAGCTTGTTGGTCTCTAAGTTGGGCGTCTACTGAACATTCCGTTCAGTTTAGCAGCGTTCTATCGAATCGTTTTCCTGGTACTGACAGTAGTGTGATGCCTCTGTAGTCCTCACACTTGATGATATCTTTCTTTGATATCCCACTTTCTGGCCTATTGATACTTGTTCTTGCTCCCAAATCATTCTGAGGAGAACGTGGAATATCTTTGCAGTTACTTTTATCTCTTCAGTGCCTCAGCTGATATGCTGTCTAGTCCTGCTACTTTCTCATTCTTGGTTTGTCTGATGGTCTTGCTGATTTCTTTTGTTGTAGGTGGTGTCGTCTGTGAACAGGTCTGTGTGTGCTGATTGGGTGTTCGGTGAGTTCAACAGTGCTTATTTGTTCCATAGCTCTTCAAAATGTCCTTTTCACTTGTTCCATTGACCTTGAACTTCAGTGATGGATTTTCGTTTCTTGTTCTTGACTGGTCACTCTAGTTTACTATATTCTCCTACCAGTTTCTCGATTGTATCATCTAGTTCTTTCATATTTCGTTTTCCTTGAAGCTTGTTCTGTTGTCGTTCCCAGGTCTTCTACATATTTCCGTTTGTCAGCTATAGTGCTCTTCAGTTATTTTTTTTGGTTCTGTATATTCGACCTGTGCCTGTTTCAGCTTGGTTGTTGACTGATATATTGTTTACATTTTCTTGAGTCCTGATCAAACCGTCCCCAGAAATCCATTCTTTATGGTGACGCTCGTTAGGGCCCGGCACTTCTTGGCATGTTCAATTTATTGCTTCTTTAATCTATTCCCAGCTGTTCTTCGTGGCGGTTTTCTCTCCCAGTAGGTTTTAAATGACTTAGAACTTGTTGCTTAGACCCATCTTCAACTCTCTGGACTTGTTGGCATCACGAATCAAGGTTGTATTGAACTTTTACGGTGCTTCTTTATCTTCAGTTTCAGTTTGACCACCATTAGGTAGGGATCTCAAACTATATCAGCTCCTCGATTAGTTCTTACGTTTTCCATGGATTCGAATTTATTTATTAAATAAAATGTGATCGACCTGGTTTTCTATTGTGTAATCTGGTGGAAGCCATATAGCTTTATGTATCGATTTGTAGGGGAAAGCGCTACTGCCTACAACAATGTTGAAAACATATAGACTTGTCAGTCTCTCACTATTCTGGTTTCTTCCTTTTGGTCTATGTCGCCTCAGAAATCGTTTGCACCTAGTACTGTCCATCCCGACCTGAGCGATTAGCCCCCATCATCATTATGGTTAGGTCTTTTCCTAAACTGTAGCCTCTCGTAAAACTGGTCCTTATCATCCGCTCTGTTGTCATTGGTGGGTGCGTCTTAATGGATGACATCCATTGTAACCCTTTCCTTTTTGGTTTTAAAGGACCCTTTGCCGATACAGGAGCCATAAGTCTCCCATCCTATAAGTGCTTCTCGTGTTTCTGTCGACAGCATTAGCGCAACTCTCTGTGCGTTTAAGGGGGGGTGGATTGGGTTTTCTACCTCATGATCAAGATACAGTAACAGCTCTCCTACCCTGGTAGGGACGATAGTGAAAAGAGTCAGCTTCCCCTCTCGAAATGCTCTCACATGGCCATGCATATACAGCCACTACCAGGGAAGTCCTATTTACTGCCTTCCTGCGACGGGGGTATTTTTAACGAAGTTGGGCGAACGAGAAATGAATGTCCACGCTTTAAGAGGACCGGTGGATACAGAGCATCCACCAAGGGAAGTTGGAAAACCCTGATTCCAAACCGATGGCGTACATGCGCTTCAGGATCCTGAGGAGACAAAAAGCCTATGGATTTATTGTTGGTCACCGGCTATCATGAAACTGCATCTCCTAAAGTTGCTCCACTGCCTTCTGGATTAGACTCTTAGGTCAAAGGCTCGAGGAGTGGCCTCCTAAGGAAACCATACGACTCGGTTTGGGCACTCGGGAACTATCCCAGCCCTCATACAAATCAGATGTTTAAGTCTGGTGCATACATGTATAGTGCCTCCTTGTATCAATGTTTATGTGTTTAAATAAGTAAAACTTGGATTTAATTTTTTCTTTCTGGCTTATGTCTAATGAGTTTCATCCATATAGAGCGCGACTAGATCTTATCTTTTTGTTTCTAGCGCTTTTCGTATGATCCTTCCGGTCTTCCACATTTCCTGAGATTCTATTTACCTGTATTATTTTCCGTTCTGGTTGTCTCAAGGGGCACCAGCCTCACGTCTTCCAAGGAACGTCGATTCTCACCATGCGACATCATAACTCTTCTGTATGAAGAGCCTTCAAATCCAAAAGCCGAGTTTAGTTGGTTTCAAATGGCTTTCTCTGAATTGAAACTTTGTGGCTAAGTTATCTGAAACTAAATCTGTTTATAATCTCAGTGGGCGTTTTTTGTCTTCTGCCTTGAAGTATTCATATACAAAGCCCATAAAAAGGCCTGGAGTATGTCTTATCTAACTCTTCCTTATATAACGATTTTATCTCTAGTTGACTGTCCACAATTGTGCTTTCACTGTTTGCACATTTATTTTGATTGTCTTCAGAGTTAAACCATTTAGTTCAGAGAATCCAACATCAACAAAATCACTCAAAGTGAGGGTAATTAATGATAAAACATTTGTTCTGGAAGCATTTAAATAAAATATGGGAATGTTCTACTTTATTAACCTGCACAAATCCTAAGATTCGTTAGATGTCAGACAACAGCAATGGCATAGTGGTTGGAACGCTTGGTTTCTAACCATTAGGGTTTGAGTTTCATTCAGCATGGTTTTGTCTGGACAACTGGATGTTATCAACAGCCTTTGTATCGAAAGTACAATTGGCTCAGAATTATGTACCTGAACCTATATCAAGCTTCAATTTTGTGTTATTGGATACAACTACTTACCTTTCATCGGGATCCTTCGATAGTTATATGCTGATATTCCATATAATAATCGATGTTACTGTATATTTAACTTCCTACTCCCTGTCTCTCAAACATCAATAAATTCACAGTTGAACCCATCTTCTGTTCAGTATCTTTTTGCTCTCAGACTAATGTTTTTCCGAACAAATTTTTAAATTCGAAATAATGTTCCCACTAAAATGTGATGTGAATTGGCTAAGATGCTTTTTCCAATATTTTTACACAGTATTATTGCATATTTTATATAAATATTGGAGTGAATGATATATTTCGTTGAAAAATCACTTTATGAAGTTTGTATTTATAGTCTTATGTTTGAAAGCCTCTATGAAGTATCAAGGAATTTGTCAAAAGTTTGTTAAATTGGTTACCTTTACAAAGTTAATTGTGATTGTGGTTAAATATATGGGTTGATCTAATTGAAGACATTTTGAATGGCTTAAATCTAGTCGGATATTTATGTCAACAGTATGAAAAGGTTTGCAGATACGATAACCAAATGTATCACGGTTCAAATAACTTAAATTATTAACGTTATTTGCTCACTAGTGGATAACTTCAACGGGAAATTCCTGGGGTTTTAGTGAAAAGCCGTAACCAGTGGAGTTCAATCGCGTTAGGCGCAAGTAAGGTACCTACCGAAGACATTAGAAGATGCTCGTGCAATATCGTGGATTGTTTGAAGTTAGACTTGTACGCCAGTAGACCTCGGCTCAGCGATCTAGAGGTAAGGGGTTGGTGCGCAAGACCAAATGTCCTGGGTTAGATCCCCGGTTGTGCGGTCGTGGTTATGGACTACTAAAATGTCTTGTACTTGAAAGAAACGGTCGTCCATGGCTCTCAAGTTCCCAGTGGTTGTCTAATCTAGGTCGGTTTTCATTCTCAATTACATATCAACGTTATTGTTTTCTTATCCTTTTGATCATTCAACATAGTTCACCTCTCAAGTTCTCAGTGGTTGTCTAATCTAGGTCGGTTTTTATTCTCAATTACATATCAACGTTATTGTTTTCTTATCCTTTTGATCATTCAACATAGTTCACCTACAACTTAAGTATTCTAATTATTTGTTATGTTTTTCTATGTACACTATGACTATTAATGACGATACTAATTACTCTGGTAACACTAGTGCTCACATTACAGCTACGATCTGTGCTAACGCTGATCGATCCACACAAAATTTCTTTCTTGTTTCCCCAATCTGCCATCCAATCAGAGGGGAAGAGGAACCAACCGACTAAGTTTGTTTTATCGTAGACTTGAGAATTCACATGAATAAATGCATGAAACACAAATCACAATGCCCTATCAATTAGAAATCTCAATTCGCTGGTAACTAGGTCATTTATGATATGAAACTGAGTAACAGGTACATAATTGGTTAGTTGTAATTTGTGTATGATAAAAGACGATATATCTACAGTCATTGACTTTAATGAAAGTGTGCAGTTAGGGAAACATAATATTTCAAATTAGATACTTAGTAGATACCCAGTAAGATATATATGTACTAGTTCACCGGAGAATAGTTTTCGGATTTCCATGTCTCCATTTATCCTTCCATTTCGTAACATTATTCTGTAAAGAAACTAGATAAAGATTAATTATTTTACCGCATACACATTCCATCAGTTACTCTTAGTTATATTTTGCATGATTATCATGTATCTTTAATACGGAAGTTTATATTCAGTACGCTTCTCATTTGTGTAGTAAGTGGCTATGAAGTTCAGCAGTTCTAATCCACTTCTGCAATACTGTTAGTTCAAAATAAGTTAAGTGTGGCTTATTATAAAACAGTAAAGACGTACTTCCTTGCTAGGTTATGCTTTCTTTGCTCTTCGATGTCATGTGTTTATGGTAACTGGTATCCTATTAGCATTTTAAGTAACCTGTTGTCTGATTGGAAATATTGCGAAAATCTCTACCGATTGATGTATTTTCAGCCTGGAATAATGAAGATACCTTCCCAGGCTTTGTTTCACCATTCAGTATATTCTCAGATCGTCCATCAACTTCTGCATTCGCTAATATTGGACAAATTGAACCTACACATCCTCCGATAGAACAAAATCAACGGGTAAGATCTTCAGCATAAGTTCCCTAATATTAGTGGAATTTGATTTGAACCATTTTTTTTTAGTATTATATATTCATTAATCACGCTGACCACTATCATTAATAAATGTCTTAAAGATTATTTATTAGGCACAACTTTGTGGCTGTCATTTTGGTTCTGTCGTCTAATAGTAGTAATATGATGAGGTTGGTTCATCAGCCGGTCTCTAGATATATATTTTCCCTGCACTATACGACTATTGCGAGTCACACATACATTTCAATTCAAGTAACAATTATAGAATGTTGTTTAATTTTACTTACTTTAAAGTACTTCAGTAAGGTGATTACATCTGTGTTAAGGTTAATATAACAATGCACCTTGACATTCTGTTTCATCTCCGTCTCCCACCATAAAGAGAAAATAGAGTAGACTTGAATGAACAGTAGTTGTTCAAATAATTATGTTTCAATATCTTAGTGATCCTGGTCAGGACCCTATGCTCTACATGGGGTGAGAAGCGTAAGAATGAATCTCTTAATGGATCTCATCACAAGAAAACTTTATGGTCGTGGCATTTTAGAAAGATGTAACCCATGGTTCATACAAATTCATGTAAATTTAATACGTTCGATTAGATTACTCAATAAAATAGTATCCTACGAAACGAAGCTTAAATTTCGCCTCATTGGTTACAAGAGTAGAGTCTGGTGTGTATGCGTTTCTTATATAAGAAAAGAGCAGAAATCCTTATATTCATTGAAACCTGCAACTTAACTACCCTATACACACCTGTACCATGCTTCATGGCAATTCTGTCTTGTCCAAGCCAGTAAATTCGACTAGTTACTAGTTGAACACTTTATCTGTGAAACCATAACCACACACTGAAACAGTACTTGGATAATAAGATTTTGTTGAATACTTGGGATTAGCGTAACAATTTCACTCATTTAAACAATGGGACAATAGCTCTTAGTTTCTGTATTCTAGGAAACCTGCTTGCTAACTTATAACTCCTTTAGTTGAGTACGTTATTAGAATCTACGTTTGTCTGATCACCCAGGTAGTATAGTTCATATTTAAGTACCTGAAGAATGAGTTAATTCGAATTGTAAATTCTATGCTAGGTTATTACTAACATAATTAACTGACAAGATGAAATGAAATTCTAGCCGATGACAATGAATCAGATATTTTATACTTCAATAACTTGTAATGATATCCCAGTTGCTTGATTTTTTTTTCCACTGTTAGTTGTACATTAATGGGATCTTAGTGATGAATTTTATTTTTAGACAGCTATTTACATTGTGAAGTACATGGAATAGGCGTTAAATACAATCTTTAGTTGAAGTATATCAGCACTTTGTCAGATCTATTTTGAAACACATTTCACCATACTGTTGAGTCAGTCTGAATGTAATAATCATCGTTGATACAAGTAAAATCTACTTCTTAATAGCTTGTCAGTATCTAAAACGTAAATAAATCATAATTTGTACTGGAGGCATGAAACACATATAAACATACTGAATAGTAGTAATGAAAAAGTGCAACAACTAGGGTTAACAATCATACATATGATAAGAGTAAAAGTTCCATTGATACCATATCACTTTATTTATAGACATTACTAACACTTAGAGTAGATTCAGTACATTAAAATCTTTCATAGTGAGATTAATGCAGGATGATGATGATAGTCTACTATAAGATTTCAAATATAATTTTCATTTCATTTGTAACTGATCAACTGAACTTTCCCAACAAGATGATGTTATCTTCGCGGGGTTCCTCCGCGTGGGTTCGAATCCCATCCCCTTAGCCACTTTTATAATTTTGTCTTATCACTCAAGAAGTCCCCAAATCGGAACACGGTTAAACATGAAGGAGATTGTATTCCAAATAAAAGGGGTAGAGGGAAGTAAGAAGTACAATAAGAAAAACAATAGTATATTTATAGTTTTCACATAAGAAGATTCTAGTTTTCTCCAAGTATCGAATAGAGGTGGTTGGATAAGGATTAGCCAATCAGCGTGCGTCAACGCAATCGTGCATGGAACACGCTAACAACAACGCGCTAACAACTTCATCTCAAGCACTAATGCATTACTATTTACTGAGCTATCGAGTTTAAACAGTCACTAACTTATTCATTGGGTGTAAAAGCCTGTTAGTAGGTATTTGTTATTTCTTTTCAGGACTGAAATTAATCAGTAACTGTTGTCATATGTTATGTTATGTAATGTATTACATAAACAATTTTTGTTATTGTTACATATTTTTAGCCAAGAACTTTAGGCGAAACTCTAGGCATCAGTTTAGAAATGTCGTCGTCACCATTTCATCAAAATCAAGCACCATCGTCTACTTCTCCATTTAATGAATTTAAAGTAAGCTCCGCTTTGAATAATCGCTTTTTTTCACTTAATATCGCCGAATCTTGATATGTTTTTCTGAGCTAAGAAAATCAATAATAATATTTTCTGGAAATTTCGAAAAAATCCACCTTGATTTGCGAACATGATCAGTCTGATAGATATAAGAGATGCACAGGTTATTTTAGTGAAGACTTGTCAAAAATATGTTAATAATATAAAGAATTGCTCGTGTACCCTGGGACCATTGAGTAAGTAACACAGTTGTTGAGGAACGGGTGCTAGGTAAGGATAGCAAATCAATTGGTAAATAATTATCAGACAGTCATACAAGGTCAAAGAAAGTTAATGTGGTGGTGGGCGTATCACTTTATCATTGGTGAGTTCGTTTATCGATCACATTTCACAATCATCTGTAGGTTTTGTAGACATAGCATACATGAGCGACTGGAGGTTCTAAAGTCATAGTGTGTACGATTTAACTCAGGAATCGAGTGCTGAATGCTTCAACAATAAACTTTCATTTTGGTGATGATTTTAAGTGACTCACCGTTTTTAGCTAACTAGAAAAAGGCTGGTAAAAATAAAAAGTTCACCAAATGCAACTAGGAAAACTACAAAGTACATATTGTTCACTAATGAAACTCAAAACATTTCAGTATGAATATATTTATGCGACTGTAACTAGTGTTTTGAATTTTTTGCACATTGTTTCCGTTTCATTAGTTTGAACCCCTGTTGCATTCCTTTGTTCGACTCAGTCACGAATCCGTAAAATTTTGATGAACACAAGTCATTAGTATTGATAACATACATAGAAATTGAAATAGAAACAGGAATGCTGATAATTAAAACATAATATTGTATGGAAAAGTATGGGGTTGGATCTTGAACAAGATGAACTCGGTCGTTTTTCTAGATATGTTATTGGTAGTCTTCATATGCAGCTTGTAGACTGTCACCATAAACCCTATAGAACAGATGCTTGAAGATGATCTCACACAATCTTTTTTGAACAAGGTAATGTCTGATGTGATTAAGATCGATCCTTTCTATCTCTTCATTCTGTGAAAGGGAATTATCGCTCCAGGTAATTCTCACCAACAGGAAACTTTTCCTGCTTCTATACCTCCGCCGTTGACAGTATGACTTCACACTTCAATCTTTGATTTAGAGCTTTTGTCCTACCACTTCCCACTATGATCCTAAAAAACAAGGGTTTCAACAAACGTCAGGTCATCAAGATAGACCATCCTAAACACCGCGTTAAGTTGAAAATGGCTCCTCAAAATTAGCTTTCTTAGTGACTAGTTATGATAAAACCTAGAATCGTTTTTTAACTACTAAAATATCTATTGGAGCTTCAAGCAAACTTCCTGTATGTTCTTTTTACATCACAGCTTACTGGTACTTAAAGTTTACATTATTAATGATCGGGTATTTTTCATTCTTCAGTTATCGCGTTATTACTTCGGCGGTTGAGATTGCACAGTCGTAATTTGGTGTGTGCTACTTATAGTATATGATGTGAATAGAAGGTCTAGTAGCAGAGAGACAAAGAGGATCGAACAGTAAAGAATGGAAACAGAATGCAGTTTGTATGAAAATGCAAGAACAATGAAGTCTGAGTCATTTTGAGACGATTGGTGGACATTTTGCAAATTAAGCATTTACTTTATGATTACTAGTATAGGGTGTGTGGAGATTATTAAGTTTTTTGATTCAGATCATGAACCGATTGATGTTAGACCACCTTTGGAAACCTGAAAGCACTGGACGTCCGTTTCGTCCCATTGTGGGACTCCTCAGCAGTGCGCATCCACGATCCCGCTCGCGGGATTCGAACCCAAGTCCTTCGGTCTCGCAAAAACTAATTACCGTATTCTTTCATCCCCATTCGTATGATGTGCATATGTTCTTACTTTTTAGTCTTATATATTTCATCTTTTATCTAATAGATTTGTCGGTTGATTTTGTTTTATTCACTGGTTCCCTCTAACTTACACTCTAATAATTTCACTCATAGTTCAAACTTGAACAATAAACTCGAACAAACAGTCATGTCATTATAAATAAATTAATATATTTATAATACCCTAATGAGTAGAAAAATTAGATTTTCTGACGTTTCGTGACTCGGTATAAACTACTTCTTTAGAGAATAAAAAGTGGTTTATACTGAGTCGTGAAACGTCAGAAAATCTAATTTTTCTACTCATTAGGGTATTATAAATATATTAATTTATTTGTAATAATCTACCCAATCCTCAATTTGTTCGAAATTATCAAGTCAAACCTTGGTAATGATACCCACAACGTTATGTCATTAGTTTATCTCATGGAAACATCAATGAGAAATCGTTAGAATGAAATGCTATTCATTTAAGGAAAAACATCAGTGTTTTCCTAATGTTAATTCATGAATTTTTATACACTTTTCTAATGATTTAATAACGATCATGCTGCATAGTGATATGATAATGTTCATAAAGAATATCGTATTCTTTTTTTGGTTTAAATATGGCCGTTATATACTACTTATTTTACTGTTTTAGTTTCCTGCTGATACTGAAGGAAAAGATTTGAACTCAAACATGTAAGTGTGTTTTTCTTTTGAATCTTAACTTCATATTTAGTTTGGAAAAATATTTCTTGTCTGTTACAGTTCTTACAATCCACTGAACGAATACACTGATATTATATAAAAGCGCATAATATTGTGTTTAGTTGACTTAATAGTTCAACCTTTTATTCTATCTAACTATATTAAATGTATCCATTCTGTAAAGGCTGTTTTACACACACACACACACATACACGTTTCAATAATTTCAACTTGTAAATAATCAGTTAAATTTATATACAAAGTTAAACTTATACCTTCCCGGCAGTTTTCTTCAAAGTACTTATCCATTGAAGATTCACTATACATTTATTTATTTATTTTAACACATTGACATTGGTACAAGGAGGCACCAAATACATATGAACCACACAAATCTCATTCGATATGTGTGACGGCTATGATACTGCCCGGGTGCCAAAACCGAAGCAGGTGGTTTTCATAGGGGGCCACACCTCGAGCCTTCGACCTGAAGGTTTGATCCACAAGGCAGTGGAGCATCGTAAGGAGATGCAGTCCCATGGAAACCGGTGACCAGCAATTGGTTCATACGCCATTTGTTCCCTAAGGATCCTGGAGCCTATGTGCACCATTGATTTGGAATCCGGTTAAATCGCCGGGCATTCGCTTTTCGTCCTCTCAATTTTGTAAACAACAGTAATGCCACGAGGAGACAGTGAGTAGGACTTCCCTGGCAGAGGCTATATACGCGTGGCCATGTGAGAGCATTTCTAGAGGGAGAGTGGTCTCTCCCCACTCTCGGCCGTACCAGGGCATTTGGGTGCAAAGGTATGGTGGAGGTGGAATTCGAACCCACGCCCTTACAGACTGGTGCCTAAAACCTATACATTCATTGTTGTATATATTGAAACTAATTCTTCCAGGTTATGCCTTGTAAAATGTCACTACACCAATGATGTATATGGGCTCCAGAATCCTGGGGAAAGAAATATCGTATGAACCAATCGTTGGTCACCGGTTACCATGGAACTGCATCACCTGACGTTGGTTCACTGCCTTGTGGATTAAACCTTTAGTTCAAAAGCCTGGGGCGTCGCGCCCCTCAATAAAACCACTTGCATCGGTTTGTGCACTAGGACAGTATCCCAGCCCACACATAAATCGAATGATTTATGTGGCACATATCTGTTTGGTGCCTCCTTGTACCAATGCTTATGTGTTTAAATAAATAAATAAATAACACTATATTTATATGAGTTTTCAAGCATTTGCTGATGCATTACAGTGCTAACAGTGGAATCCAGGACGCGCGTCTCGTCCTATCTAGGACTCGTCAGCTGGATGTACCTGAATCTAGAAGTTGATGTTCACTCTGGGACTCGAACTCAGCACCGTTCATTTCGAACACCATCGTATTATCCATTTAGCTACTACTGAGTCCTGACAGTCACCTGTTTGTATAATGGGGTGAAGTTTAAATTCACTTGGTATTGTTTACTTGAATCTTCCCATTGATGTTTAGAACGGCACATAGAGTAATATGTTGTAAGCTTTGGATGAACTATAAATTTGTACAGGGTAGAACCTGTCGAAATATCCACGGGTAGTGAAATTATGTTTCTTAACTGCTTTTTTACATTTCTATATTATATTTATATGATATATCCAGTGATATTTTCGGAGGTTTGTTCAGTCATTCAGCTTCAAATGAATTTTTATCAATAAAGATAATTTCCCAAATAACTTGATCATTTTCTAATGGGATAGTAATACCTTTGAAAAAGAAGATGTGATAGCAACTTGTTAACCTCTTAGAACTGTGTTTCAGATGTTGGAATTTATAATTACTTGGCTTATTAGAAACTATTATTCATTATCATACAGTCATAACCAACTAACTAACACATGTTGAATAGAGCGAATAACAATTAGCTTCTATAGTATTTCATATATTTTTATTCTTTTAATTCATTCATTCCTTATAATTTTGACTGTATTCTTCCTCACGGTAATTGATAATGATACTGTTTCGATTCTTTCGATACTTACCTCGTCAGTTTTGTCTTTATGCGATGATGGGGGGGGGTGATATGTTGAATTGAGCTAGCTCATATTTGTGCGAGGTTTTATATTGATAACGACTAACTGATTGACCTGGTTGAAATTGCATTACACATCTTAACTTAATTGTCAATAATATTCAATATATATCTATGTATAATAATTATTATTCAATGATTAGCTTTAGTTCTGAAAGCAAGGAGTCCCCGGACGACATGGTAGATCGTGAATTGGTTATATTTCGTCGACCATCCAATGTATCCTCCGGAGAATGTAAGTAAAGTTTGATGCACTTTCACATTGTTATATATAGACTACTGGAGATAGGAAATCAAAACAGTTGTTAGACATATTTTGTGCTTATATCCCTGAATGTTATGTTGATAAATTCACCTTCCATTCTACAAGTTTGTGAGCTTTCTAAAGGTTGCGAATATTTCTTACTAATCAGTTTAAATTGACATACACTCAGATCAAGGAATTCCTGTGAATATGTCTAAGTATCCAATTTAATTTAATTTCCAAATATTCAGAGATAATTTACTTGGAAGTATACCTGTTGAGATGATTTTCAAAATGGGTTGGAAACTCTTTTTAATTTCGTGCTCATAACAGAATCAATACATTGAAGCTTAATTTTTAAAGAGTGTTTTAAATCTCACCAATGATGAAGCGTATTATCTCCCACAACACTTTAGAGATTAAGTGCCGAAGACTTATTGTGTTTTAGGCGTTGATCTTCGTTCATTATGTGAAATACGAGTGGTCGTTACCTTTCAGCCTACTATACTCTAGTAGATGATGAGAGGTAGGGGAGGGTTAATCTGTAATGTATTTTTGTTGGAACAAAGCTAGATACACAATTAGGGACTCATTCCTAAATAACCATAAATACTACTACTATCAGTCACAGAATTTTCGGTTACTCATCTCCATATTGAATTTCTACGTATTTGGTGTTAGATATCAGAAATGAATTCCAAATATGAATCTTAGAAAGTGGAACCTTGGTTTAGTTCAACTTAGTTAACTTAATATATGTTGCTACGCTTTTGAAGGGGACGACCTAGTGCTCTGATTGGCCCTGCCTCGCTGTCTGTCCTAGCCAGTTGAGTCAAGAACACAAGTCACAGCCCCTGGGTCATGAATCATTGTATTTCTAACATACTCTATTTATATACCAAGCAAACAAACCACATCGTACCATAAAATAGGAAACAACATTTGTACAATATTTAACAAGTGAAATAAACATCGACCAATAAGAAATGTACATTTAAGGTTCAAGGACACCATTGAACTTAACATGATAATTATTGGTCTCTTTTTCCGACTACCCTAACAGAAGGAAACTATGGTAAAGTGTGATAACGAGTCAAGTTTACAAGATTATGCTAGTAGGTTTATTCAACTGTCATTAAATGAATGATTTATAATCTCCTAGTCGATAATCTATGAATTCATCAATCATTACATACTACTGATTTTATTTTCAATGAATTTCATTAATTTTCTATGATTAACGAGAAGGAGTTGGTGAAAATGTATTGTTATTTATAGATAAATATAATTATAGATATGTACAACAAAATGCCTCCTCATGGCGGGGATGTTGTTTACGAAAATTAGAGGACGAAATGCGAATGTCCGGCACTTTAACCGGAATCCAAACCAATAGTGCACATGGGCTCCAGTATCCTGCGGAAACAAATGGCGTATGAACCAATAGTTTGTCACCGGCTTCCATGGGACTGCATCTCCTTACGATGCTCCACTGCCTTGTGGATCAGACCTTCAGGTCGAAGGCCAGGGGTGTGGCCCCCTAAGGAAACCACCTGCTTCGGTTTTGGCACCCGGGCAGTACCACAGCCCTTAAACATTTCGAATTAGATTTGTGCGGTGCATATGTATTTGGTGCCTCCTTGTACCTTCCTCTTTCCAAATTTATTTCACTGGATTATACTCTTTAAATAACGTCTCCAAACCCTAATCTTCCCGATTACTGCTTATACTCTTGCTACCTCTACCACTACGGGATTTGAATCGACAACTGCATCTCTGTGTTAAGGTGGTGTGGCAACTCGAACTGATGTACGTACGTACGAAGTTCTACGTTGTTACTGACTGACTGACTGACCTCTTTGTACCAATATCTATGTGTTAAAATAAATAAATAATACAACAAAATGCCATAACCAGTATTAGTATTTTAATCTTCTTCGGTTGAATTGCTCCTTGTCCTTGTTTCAACTCTACCTATAAGCATATTTGTTGTTTATGTCTAAAGTAAATTAATATCTTCATTCAAAATAGTTATTCACTTTTAACAATTGAATTACCGTTTTATTGAATGGCATTCTATGTTATGAATTTAAGGAGAATCTTTTATCAATGTTAAGGTTTAGAGATATTCACGATAATCAACAGCTTACAATGTAGGTCATTATGACCATTGTAATGAACGAGAACACCAATGGGGACAACCAAATGTATTTGAATACAACATTATAGAATATCTTGGTAAAATCTGAGAACCATACAGTAAATACTTCATTTGCAAAATATCCATCAATTGTCTCAGACTTTGCTATTCTTTCGTTTCCATAACAATTACTCTCTGTCCTCGTTTTCATCTCTTGGACTTTCTCAGCCTTCTGCAGCTAGGCATCAATAGCACACACCACACAATATCTACTGTAATGTGCACTACTTATGCTGACAGGAATAAGTAATATGTAGCAGGAATCAGAAGTAAAATGCTTATCAACAGAAGAGTCAATTAACGAGGAGAGAAAGGAAAACGATAAGCAATCAGATTATCAACAGGATTAGAAGATTGATGAAGTATGTATAGGATAATTGAAGGAAGATACACAAATAATGTATTTAACGTATGCTCTTTCGTATTTTACAGAGGCGCTGTTTGATTTTGTTCAAAACAATAAATTGGTTTATCCTATCTGAGCTTTCGTTCACTGTACTACTACTAATTCAAATCGGTTGTTGAGCTTACTTTTCATAATAACCGTCGTTTGTTTCACTGACACAATAGGTTACTTTAATTATCTGGAAAATTTGGACACTTTTTCTCAAATTTTCGTCTCATTCATTTTTCTCCCTTTATGCTGATATCAATTGTAATAACGTGAACTGTATACACCCATGTAGTGCACACGAACTGACATTTCTACATCTTTTGCTTCTTATATATGTCTCATCTACTCTGTAATGGAGTTAAGAAAGAACAAATTCTGATGAGAGACTAAGCAGTAGTATTTAGTGTAGTAGTCTAAAACCATCAAATTCTTAAGCTTATTTTATTTCTAAAAGTAAAAACTATTGAGAAATCAATGAACTAGTTGATTAAAAGTTTAGTATATCATGTTCTAATAAACTTTTATTCTTTCTTTTTTTAAAATTTATTTGGTAACACCTATGCTAATGAAATAGCGTTTGTTGACGATTTACCGGATGAATTCTTTGAACACACTGAAGAAGATATACGTAAATTAATGCGTTCATATCGTAATGAATGGTAAGTTGTATAAACCCTTTAAAGAATCATATTAAACAATCAAAAATGATAGACCTCTCGCATTATACTTGTGAGGTTAGACGTAGGGTATTAGTGAGTGATAATAAATCAGTCGATGAGGTTGTAAAACTCCATCGACTAAGATGGTTGGGCCACGTGTTACGTATACCTGAACTCCGATTACCACGATGCGAAATGCTAACTAGTGTTGGGGATGGTTGGAAGAAAGTAAGGGACGGACAAACCAAAACGTGGCATCAGTCATTGAAGTCACTAACTTCTAGTCTGAGCCATGTTGGTAGATGCAGACTACTTGGTTGGGGTCCGCATGACTATCGTAACCAATGGTTGGAGGCTGTGGGTGACATGGCTCAGAATCGATCACAGTGGCGTAAGTGTATACACTTTCTGTCTTCCCTTAAAATTGCTTTATATCTTTTTTTCTTCCTGCACGATATCCTTATACACAATCTTTCTTCTATATGTTACTACCATTGAAATAACCACTATGAATTCGGTATTCACATTGTTGTACTAATGAGGTATGACAACTTAGACCGATGCATATATGTGCCTGATCCTACGTTGTAGCTGACTGGCTGGTTATTCTTGTCGTATAATCAAAAAATTTTGAAAAAATCTCAGTTGTCAGTTTTGCTTTTGATGTATGTCACAGAAAGCAGGTTGACTTTCCGTATATATTAGGTGAAATGTGAATGGATAGTACTTTCAAGGAGGGATTATTTAAATTTCCTGCTTAGAAATCGACGTTGACATAGATCATTATCCTAATAAATTTGTATATTTTAGTAAATTTGGTTCACTGATATTTGTTTTTCTGTAATTACTAGGGTCATCATATTAAGGTTGTATGTTCTTCATAGTATGGCTATACCGTTTCACCTCTTTTTTGTTTTTCATTACAATTATAGCTTCAAATCGAAATTTCTTTCATCAGTTCACTTTTTTTTTTCGTTTTGCAGGGTGGAAAATCAACCTCTTCAAACATCGACTATGCGTTCAGAAGCTCGTCATAAATCCTATTCTAAATATTGTCGAGCTATTATTCAATTTCACTGGGTTGATAATCTTATTGTTCAAGCATGTTTCCTTCCTACTGAAAAAGGTTTGTTTTTATAGTGATTTTTTTTCTTAAGACTATTTGTAATTATTTACTTATTTCATTTTACTTAATGCAATAAGTCATCAGTCCAAACTGTCACATAGTGATGGTACAACAAAGACTAGGGTCAACTTCATAATAATTTAAATGGAATGCTTCTTAAACTGTAGGGACTTCGTCTGCTATGAATCCATATAAAGATCATTTAGATTTAATTTGATAATGTCAGTCAGTCATTATCATTGTACAGCCTAGCACCAACGTGTAATGCTGTAATTTGCATTATTGGATTAGCACGACGAAGTGAAGTTGGTAAAATGTATGATTTGGTAAAAGAGGTCAGAGTAATGTGGTAACAATGACAATGGAAAGGACTAAGCATTAAGAATAGGGTTTGAAAAGACAGAGTGGAAAGATATATGTGGAGAAATAGTCGAATTCAAGATTGAGATCAAGGGAAAAATGAACGCATCTGAAGCATTATGAACGATTCTAAGCCATTTTACCTTAAGTCTCCAACCATTGATGAACCCCATCTAAGTAGGCTGCATCTACCAACATGGCTCAAACCAACAGTCGGTGATTTTATGGGTTGGAGCTGTTATCTTGGTTTGCCCACCCCTGACTTCATTCTAACCTAATCATACTCCAGGGAATACCAGCTACTGAGGTAGGTTGCTACGTTCGACGACACCTTGCAATCACCTGAAACCGGCGAACGGAACGAAAGTCAACAAAACAGGACATCTAGCTATTCCACTGCGTCCCAACCCTGCTAACGATGAATACACCATATAAAAGGCTTGGAACTTTAGGTATCTGGTTTAATCAACTGATGCCAGTCAGTAAGTTATCATCAGCATATAGCCTAGACCCACAGATGCATGTTGACTCAAGTCGCAACACACATTAACTTGACCTTGAGTTACTTCGATAGTACACAATGTCTTACAAGTAGAAACCACCTACAGTCAACAAATATCAACTAATTTATTCAATAAAGGTTCACAGGGTCTTCAACTTATCATCATTCTACCTACTACAAATCTTAACATTACTCAGATATGAATTATCATATGGCTGATAAGTAACGAACTGTTATATCCCGATTAGAATAATGAATGGTAACTTTTGGGATCCATTTATGGATCGTACAATTGTTAGAGAACTAAACTATTCATATTCGTGTTCCTCTTATTATGAGCTTTATTTTGACCTATGAACTATTATTATACGTTGGCTGGGCTAGGCAGGAAGCAGGACAATAAGGACTCTAGACTGCTCGCAAGGGTTTTATGCATCATTGGTTCGATCGATAATTCACTGTTCTCTAATTGGCGGTATCATTAAGTTATACATTAACAGGGCACACATTCCACGAGTTATGACACGAACAAAAGGTATATTCGTTTAAGAATAATCTTTAATTTACTGTCTCCCTACATAATTTATAAAGTCATCTATTTAAACTTCCATTTTCTTACCAGAAAGGTTTGAAGAACCATTAAATGCATAATATCGCTGTAACATGTTTATTCGTATCAATTTTAGGCTTCTCATTAGTGTACACTACGTTACAAAGTATCAAATCCAAGAACCGTAGTTCATACTTGAAACAGGGTACAATTCAATCAATGAGTTGATATTCGATGGACCATAGTCATTAAATTCATTCAATACACTATAGACAACGAACAGTAATCGTAAAATGTTGTGTATGAACTATTTTCAGTCTCAACTTATTTGATTAAAGTGAACATGGCTTCAAAGTAGAACTTAATCTCTCCAAATTCTATAGTATGATATCGGTTATGTTTAGCTCTCTTCAAGTAAGATATTGGTATACCAAGTAGACAACTAGTTTTTCATATTTTTATTATCTAAAAGTGTATGAATAATAAAATGGTTACGGTTATTATCGATCTATAGTCTCATACTTTGTATCTCCACTGTTTAATTGTTGTTCAGACACTTTGATTCCATCATTAACCGTTCTAGTGTAAGTTAAGCTCCATAATTTAATAATGTAGACCTGTGGATTAGTTAATCTATTGTGATAATCGATTTTTTTCTATATTTGTCTTTCATAGTGTCAGCATTATATAAATTTATTCGTGATCTGCAAAATTCTACTTGCGATTTTAAACTATGTAAGTTGTTTGTTACATGATGCTTTTGTGTATTGTTGTGTTAAATTACAGTTTTTTTCTTTTTCAATGCTTCCGTTATTGTTAATGTGACTTTTGTCAGTCAGTTGGTAACAACGTAGATCTTCGTACGTACGTACATCAGTTCAACTTGCCGTACCACATTAGCACGGAGATGCAGTTGTCGATTCAAATCCCATTGTGGTAGAGGTAATGAAAGTATAAGTAATAATCGGAAAGATTAGGGTTTGAAGATGTTATTCAAGGAGTAGAATCCAGCGAAATAAATTTGGAAGGAAAAAAAAAGAAAAGTACATGAAGGATTCAAATTATAATTTGGGAGAACACAGAGTAGATGCACCTGCTCACACCATTGCAAACGATTTTGAGCCATGTCATTCAAGGTCGCTGACGATCGGTTGCTGTCGTCTCACGGATCCCAACCAGGTAGTCTACACCTACCAACATGGCTCAGTCCACTTGTCAGTGACTTCATGGATTTGTGCCATGTTTTGGTCTGGTCGCCCCTAACTTTCTTCCAACCTACTCCTACACCATGAAACATCGCACGTCGTGGCAGTCGGTCGTTGGGCATACGTAATACATGTCCCAGTCATCTCAACTGACTAAGTTTCACTACTTCATCAATTGATTTGCCATCCTTACCTAGTACCCATTTCCTAACAACTGTGTTACTTAATCGATGGTCCCAGGATATACGAGCAATGTGTTCGAAGACACCTATGATCAAATACTAGTAACCTACGAATATTCTCTACTCTTACGGGCCATGTTTCACTGCCATAAAGTAGGATGGAGTAAACTGCTGCGCAGTAAAGCGTCGTTTGGTTGGTAGACGGATATTTCGTCTACTCCAAAAATGACGCAATTTGGCAAAAGCTAGTCGAGCCTTCTGTATCCGTGCTGAAATTTCGTCACATCAGGCTACAAGAGCTGATGAGACTCAAGATAAGTGAAGCGGTCGACCCGCTCAACTACTTCATTCCCTGTCATTAGTTTAGATGTCAATGCAACGCAATCCTGAAGCAACATTTCGCATTTCGAGGGAGAGAATCGCATCCCGAACATGCTTGCATTGTTGCTTAGAGTGGTCAGAAAATTGCATTTTACCAGCGTCTTCACCAAATAGAACTATGTCAAAACAGGTGCATCTCTCGGTAGAAGCTCAACCCCTTGAAATTTAGATGAGGAAGGTGTTATCTATAAACGCATGTCTACGATAAAGTTGAAGAAGAATGGAGAGAGTTGACAGCCCTGAAAAACACCACTTATGGTAATCGATTCTGATGACAGTTCACCATAAGCTCTCACTCGACCAGTTATGTTGGAGTACAGAGCCTTCATAAGGTTAATGTACTTCTTTGGTACTCCTTTCATTGACACTTTTGTTCTTTTAAATCATTTGATGAACATAAACAAAGAATCACTAGTACTTTTTTGAGTACTGAGTTAATCAACTACTACTCACTCTACTTATTATCTTCAGTAACACTTGTATACTCTGTGCATGAATACAGAATGAATGATAACTGTATATGTTTGATATAATAAGGGGAAAATTGACAAATCATAATCAAACCAATTAGTAATTTATATGTACTGAACAGACTAACATGAGTTCGTTGTTAGTTATTTTAATAAACACTTCAAATCAAATAAGTATCCATTATTAGTTGATAAATTCTTAACAGTTTTCCATATAGATTAACTAACTAATAATAAATGAAAATTTGTATTATGACGTATACTACTTATATCGACATAAGTAGTATGTATATAACTCGAGTTAGGAATAAAATGTCGGACAGTAGAAAATTGAGAAGATCGAGAAGGGAAGAACGGGAACAGAAAGCAATGGGTATGGAAATGCATGAATAATGAAATCTGAGACAATTAATCAACAGTTTGCACATGAAGTATTAGAGTATGGTTTTTCTATTTTACCAAATAACTCGGTAATTTTGTTCACCTTCACTACAGTATGAGTCCAAATAAAGATCCTTGTCAAATTAATAAATTAACAACAGATTCTATTGTGAATGAAGTAAGATCATTAAAAATTTTTTATTACAATAATACAAGAAAGGGGGGGGGTCGAGTAAATTAACTAAATAATCATATTTCCTAGTTGAAAGTTCTATCAAGATCTTATAATTGATAAAATATGCTCTAGATCAAACGATTCACACAAGAATATATTCAGCTTAGTTTCCTAAAGTCTACGGTTTTCAGGATTCATCTAACAGTTGAATAATTATAGATGTGAATAACATTATATGTTAGTCAAGTTGATTTGTCTTTGCCCAATGAGTTCATCTTAACCCATTTGAAAACTTGGAATCTACACTAATAGTACATATGTAGTCCAGAAAATTTGGGGAACAAATAACTTAAGAATTCACTCAATTGGATTCCACCTTGTGACGTCGCTCCACTGGATTGAAGAAGAATAGGTCTTTAGTTCAAAGACTCAGACAATGGTTCTTTAATAAAACCACTTGGTTCAGTTTAGACATCCAAACAGTGTCAAGACCGTCACATTGATAATAAAATTTCCCATTGAAGACAGATTATTCGGTAGTTTATCCAACGTTATGTCACACTGTAAGTAAGTTGGGAAAAGAACATATAATTTACTTGATCAATCTTATCTCAATACTGGTCAGTATGGGGTTAAAATAACAAACATTAAAAACTTCGAACTTCCGTCTCGTTCTAGTATTGAATCTCGATTCATTCACCATTGGTTCCTGGTTCAGTGGTTTTGTCGTTTAAGTGTTCACACGCGAAATCGAAGATCCCGAGCTCGGTTCCCGGTTTTGGGATTGCTGATTCCCTTTCCTGAGGAGTCCTATATTACCACAATTTGGCCGTTCAATGCTTCCAGTTTTTCAATGATTGTTTAATTTAGATCAGTTCATGATCTCAATAAAACTGTCAATAGTTTAACAGCCAATAAATTAACCAAAATATTAGATTAGAATATAATCTTCGTTGATTAATGACAATAGACTGAACGTATGTCAGTTAGACTTTTTCAACTTTACAATTAGAACAATCTTAATCTGACTACACTTTTCCAATGTGTCCTCATTGTCTTTTTCCTTGTCATAGACAATTTTCTTTCTTAAAAAATAGTGACATAGCAACAAAACGTATTTCATTAATCGTTGTATACTGGAGTTTGGAGTGTTACCAAAATAACTTATGTGATCGGAATCTTATATGGTGGACTAGAAAATTGTTATTTATATAAGCCTTAGTTTAAAACCAAGAAAAAAAGAAACAAAGAGTGGAGAGATTATCCGTTCAAGCATATAAACACATTTAGATTGACTGCATCCTGTGATGCAGTTGACTATTTTAGTAAAGCCCCCCAAAAAAAGTAATAAGTACAATGAATTACAGTCCTATTCGAATTTTGATTAATGGAATATTAAAAGATAGAAGACACTTGACAACTCTATATTCACTATACAATTTGAAGGAGGTAACTTGTTATTTTTTTTAATTATTTTATTTATCTAATTTACGTTTTATCAGTCTGGAAATCTCATATTCATTCATAATCATACATGTTCTAACTAAATATCATTCATTTTAAGAATGGATTCTATTCATCTATAAAACTATGTGTATCCAAAAACTGTCATATCAGTTGTACAATTAGTTTTACAGAATGGATCACTATTGTTAAACAACGTACAGGAAACTTAAGTACTAAGTATCCTATTCATTCTTATTATTTAATAAACTTTAGATACTTAATCTCTGGTATTCATAGTCTATACGCAATCAGTATATCAGAATGGGTTTTGTGGAGATTTTTAGAAATTTCATAGGTTGAAATCATGAGTCAATTGAAGCTAGACCACCATGAAAAACCTGGAAGCACTGGACGGCCGTTTCGTCCTAGTATGGGACTCCTCAGCCGTGCGCATCCACGATCCCGCACCCCGCATCTTCCATTGTCTGAGGTAGATACCTGTCTCTACCCGACACGGAATAACTCCACCGGTCATGTCTTCTCATTATAACTCCGAGAATTCCCTCACGAAGCTAGTCACTAGTGAGCACATGGTAATTATCAGTATATGGTTGTGGAGATAATTAGGTTTTTGATTGAGATCATGAATCGATTGATGTTAGATCTTGGATGCACACTGCTGAGGAGTCCCACAATAGAATGAAACGGTCGTCCAGTGCTTCCAAGTTTTCAGTAATGGTCTAACGTCGATCGATTCATGATCTCAATCAAAATATATTTGTACTTGATTTATTGGTCTCCTTTTTTTCCTATCTAACATCAATAGATTAGTATTTCATTTCATATATATAATTGATCTTCCATTGTTATCTGTTGCTTTTTACAGATACTACTCCGCCTAAATTGTTTCTATCTGATACAAATATTACATTGATTGAAGTGAGTGTGGAAATTTTCTTCTGTTATACATTTTTTTATTTGTTCAAAGGGTGTGTTTTTTTTCCGCAAAGATAATTTAAGGAATATTTATGGTATATGTAACACTTAAATACATAACACTGATTTTTCACTGCATCCTGGTTACCCAGAAATCTCTTCCAGTTAAACCGTGAAAAGAAAAGAAAAATCTGAAACTATCTAAGTCACTTTTACTTCCTAAATTAATATATGTACAGAGGACAGAAGTATTTATTGGTTTATTTGCAACGTTTGATATTCTGGAAGTTTAAAAAAAAGTATATATTCAAGTTAGTAACAAAGTCATAGTATAACACATGAGCCATCGTTATTCTAAAATTACCTAAGAAGTTCCTATCAATATTTAGATTCCATGACATACAAACCTAAGTGATTTGTATTTATGAAAAGTTTCAAGTTTCACTGCTGAGGAGTCCCACAACAGGACGAAACGATCGTCCAGTACTCCCAGGTTTCCAAAAGTAGTCTAACATCAATCAGTTCATGATCTCCATCAAAAACTTAATAATCTCCATAATTCCTATACTAGTAATTAACATTTGCTCACTAGTGACTAGCTTCGTGAGGGAATTATCGGAGTTCTAGTGAGAAGCCATGACCAGTGGAGCTAATCCATGTCAGGTATCTACCTCAGTACAATGGAAGATGGTCGCGCAATTTCGTGGATTGGTTGATGTTAGACACTATCACCATTGGATGCCGGCTCAGTGGTCCAGTAGGTTAAGCGTTCGCGCGCGAGACTGAAGGCCCTGAGTTCGAATCCCGCGAGGCGGCATCGCGGATGTGCACTGCTGAGGAGTCCCACAACAGGACGAAACGGCCTTCCAGTGCTTCCGGGTTTCCAAAGGTAGTCTAGCATCAATCAGTTCATGATCTCAATCAAAAACTTAATAATCTCCACAACCCCTGTATTAGAAATTGAATTCAATTGTCTACACAGAATGTTGAATTCTTTGTAGCATGATCTGAACTAATTGTCTATGTTTGGCAGTTGGTAAATAAAAAAGAAATTTACTAAGATGTATTTCATTTTCAAATGTTATTTGATGTACCATCGAATGTGTAGTACATAAAGAGTCTATTTGAATTCACTCAACTAATGAATTGTATTTTCTAAAACGTAGTTTATTCTTACATATTTTTCTTTATTTACGTGTATTACATTTATTATGCTTTAGGCTGATTTAGTACCTTTATCAAAAGTATTTTATCATCCTACTGACATATCAGCTGATAATGGTAAGTAGTATAAATCATTTAGTGAGTAGTGTATAATATCATTTACTCTTTTAAATTAATTGTTTTTCAAAAATATTTATTTGAACATATAAACATTGGTACAAGGAGGAACCTAATAGATATGCGCCACATAAATCACTCGATATGTGTGCGGGCTGGGTTATTGCCCGAGTGCCCAAACCGAAGCAGGTGGTTTTCATAGGGGGCTACACCTGGAGCCTGTGACCTAAAGGTCTAGTCCACAAGGCAGTGGAGCAACGTCAAGAGATGCAGTCACATGGTAGCCGGTGACCAACAATAGATTCATACACCATTAGTTCAATCAGGATACTGGAGACAATGTGCACCATTGGTTTAGAGTTGGGATTTGTCAACTCCCTTAGGTGGACTCTCCGTGTCCACCAACTAGGCTAAAGCGACGGACATTTGCTTTTCGTCTTATCAATTTCGTAAACAACACTCGTGGTGCGAGAAGACAGCGAGTAGAACTTCCCTCGGAGTGGTTGTATGCACGTGGCCACTTGAGAGCATTTGTAGAGAGAGAGAGAGAGAGAGCTGACTCTCCCCACTCTCGACCGTACCAGAGCATTTGGGCGTCTTTTAACTTAATCCCTGTCAACAAGTCTTATTTGGCCTATTTAGCTAGTATTTAAGTAGGTAATCATTAACAGTGTACGTGTGTGTGTATGTATGAACGAACAAATTATTTGAAAAGAAAGTAGTGTTTATTCAGCGATTATTTTTCTTGGTTGATAGTTTTTCACTAAAAACCGCATTTATTAATAATATTTCCTTAATGTAAGTTGTAAAACTCCATGATCTTCAGTTAAAAGGGGATTGTATTTATAAGGTTTTATTTAATTGTTGTTATTTCGAACTGCAATTTATCAATCTCTATCGGTGTGTATACACATTCGGACCGGATTCCTCCGTTTTCGCCTCATTTATTTGCAAGGTTTAGTAAAGTTAAAGTGTGGCTAGTAGTAAAATCGAAGAGATGCGTTTTGCCCTATGTTGGACTTCAGTGTGAACATTAACATTGGAATACTGGTACACCTAACTGATTAATCCCAAATAAAACGTTATATATGCTGTGGATTTTAGTACCAATCACAATTTAACTCTATTAAAACTTGTGGTTCGATGATTATATGGAGACAATCTGCTTAGGATACAGATATGTCAACAAAAACTGATAAGAACAACGGGACATTCTAAATTCCTACTAATACCTGCACACTCGGACAAGTTAGTGTTTATCTGGACTAAGTAGCTCAGTGGATAACGCGTCAGCGCTTCAAGCGAAAGGTAGTGCGTCCATTTGTCGTCATGACCATTACTTTAGATGCAGGTACATTCAGCTTCCAAGTTCTAAATGGGACGAATCGAGCGTCATGAATTCCACTGTTAGTCACTACCCAAATGAATTCATGAAATTTATTTATGGTTTGATAATATACATTAATAACAGATCTGACATTTACTTGCCTATCTAGATGGTACAAAAAAGTAGTTCGACTAGACTTCTCGGCAGTACATACAACTATACTAGGAGTTAAACCTTTATATTTTGAAGCGAACGCGTAAGCTTGGTTTTATGAAGTCAAAACTCAGTTATTCTAATTTCTAATTTCAGTAAATTCGTAATTTAGCATGGTTATCATCCAGTGTCACTGTTGCCCTCTCAGTATTGTTGAACTCCATCAGTAATGACTTTTAAAAATCAAGGAATTCATCTAGAAGTTTAACTTGATGATCTCTGATAGAAACTCAACAGTGAACATACAGCAAATAGTCAGTAGTTGAGGATTTTTTCTGCCTCTGGGTCACTTTCTTAAACATAGATTCTTTCATGTTTCCAACATGTTTATTGTTTAATGGATCATAAAGAAATCAAATCAAATATTTGTAAACTGCCATTTCTTTTATTTCTAAGTTGTCTTAGGTAGCGGATGTTCCTTCCATTATGATTGTGTGATCATTGTAAAATGGTAAGGTTATATGACCATCGTCGATAATTTCACTCTCCTCATTTCTTAAACTTATAACACCATGTATTGCAAATAGTCATTCACTAACCACTAGTTTACATCAACTGCATTTTTTATTCAGTTTTGGTGATTGCATCATTAATAGGGTCAACTTATTCTCATTCAATAAAGTCAACTAATTAAACAGTGATATTCTCTTTTGGTTTCATTATATAGTTCTGAGATCAGATATATTAGATAAAGCCAGTGAAGAGAATATTATTAAAGCTCAGTCAGTTGTTACTTACTGGTATGTTATTTGTCTCATTTATTTATTTATTTATTAATCTGTAATCTTTGTTTTTTTTTTTTTTTCATTATCACCTTAATGTAAATTGTTTGGTGATGAGTTGATCCTATTGGAGATGATTTGCTTTCATTTTGAGGTAGTAAAAAGTGATTAAACGTATACTCTCAGCCAAGTATCTAACCGATTATGAATATTTGTCAAATTCTTAAAATCTATCTAGATCCCAATAACGAACGGAACACTTAAAAGTAAATTATTGTCACTGTGACTAAATATATTCTCGAATCTCAGCACTACTAACATGGTGTTGCCGTTGGATAAGAGCGATTCTTCAGAGGTTATGATGATCAAACACAGAGGGTCGTCTAACATTCTCATTTTAGAAGGTTTAAGTTTCACAAACATAGATCGAGATTATTGACACTAATCGGTTGTATACCTGGCTACACTAACATCATGACGGTTTTAGAGCTGATCCAAATTGGATCAATCTCTCTGGTTCTCAACATAGATAGGTTGGTTTCGGTTTTCATACCACCAATAGCACTTTCGCATTTACCCGAACACACGAAAGTTCCTAATATTTCTAAATGGTTTAGATTTTTAGATCCAAAGTCATACTTATGGACACGAATTAACAAATGATTAATTACAATTTGGAAAACCTGTCTATCATTACAGAAAGAAAGATGACAGTTTCTGAAGTTCGTCTTGAGCAGGAACAGGTTGTTATCCATGTTGTAGTAAAATTCATCAATCCGAATATAGTTCTTACGGAGCCGTTTAGACGAACAGCATATAGACGCCTTTAACGGGGATCCACTCTAATAGTGCTTGTTCTGCCTACACCTGCCAGTACACGAGAACTAACCATCGGGTCGTCAGACACATAGAGGGTGTATCTCGTCGGCTCTCCGTTTTGGCGACGCGAGGTCAAGTGAATTAGCACACTAGGGTCTTTTATGCGTGTTTCGGAGACACACCATACATCAGTGGTTCGAGATTCTAGAATCTTAGCCTAGGAGGCCTGCTGGCCGATTTCACATAGAGTTCGTACGTTGAAGGTTCCAATATGTAGTTTGGAGCAAGGTTTCAGTAGACATTGGACAGTGTTTTGCTCACTAGGATCGTTGGTTATGGTGACACTTGAGGAGGAAGCCAAAAGAGGAAGTTTAGTGTTGAAAGTCGATTTAGGAGAAATAATAGGAATAGAAGAGGGAGATTCAATACAGTGATATTGAGTGCTTTTAGACGTATGAGGGCGGTTATAACTTTTCGGTTATCCAAACCGTGGAAGGGTTCTTCTGGAGGTACCTGAAAAGGACATGGGGTTATAGTTGGTCTTAGTGACATGAGAGCGTGACCGTAGTGCCCAAGGGACAACTGATTGAAGTCGGTTGCACACCACCTTTTTGTGAATAGTTTTCGTATTTGCTCCGTACTTGTTTAGACCTTACCACCGGAAACGGATATCCATGGGATCAGGTGAGGTGTGCATTTTTAGGGTCGACCTTTTCTAACCCCACCCCTCCTTGTGGGAAGGCAGCATCACTGTAATGTTGGTTGTCTGATGGAAACACCTTACTGCCGTCACACCTCTGTACAGTCAATAGTAGGACTTCGCCTTCGGACCTTGGGTTTACTGCTTTTGGTCTAACCGTTCTTCAACCGACCTGTCTGGCATGATGGGACCATGAGGGACGATTTTTCCAGCCAGTATAGCTCGATTGGTTCATCACGATAGGAAAGTCCGATCACCAGGTCAAGGTAGCAGCAACCACCATTGAATTAACTACTTCTATGGATTCGGTGTTCATGTTGTTGTGCTAATGAGATGTGGCAACTTAGACCGATGCATATATGTGCCTGGTTCTACGTTGTAGCTGACTGACTGACTGAATACGAATATGGGTTCAGAAATGTTTTCCTGTCGTTTAATCTATATTCATCTAATCTCCATCGGGTACCCAAAAAACCCTCTGTGTGTGTGTGTGTCTTGACTACCAACCTGCACATACAAGTCTCTCGATAGCATAATCTGTCTAACACGCTTTATTGAGATCATTTTGTTGATGACAGAAATGAACTTTTTCACTGGATCTGGGTTACAATCTGTCGGTCATAGGTGAGGATTTCAATAATAGTTGCATTATGTGGATGGATTCTACTATTTTACCAATAAACTACTTTTTTCCATTAAGCCTATGAGTATGGAGAGTTTAAGAATTTTTACTCAGTTACTGATTGTAAAGTAATTGATAACATATTTAAATTTTTGAGCATATTGGTTATAGATTCAGTGAATAAACCATTAAATTACACTCTCAATATTTTTTGTTCATTTCTATGTAAATAGGATGAAAAAATCACCAGCCGACAACTCAATTCAAAACAGTTCGTCTCAAAGGGATATTGACACTCAGAAAAATTTAAGACGCACTGATAGACCTGCTTCTAATTCATGCAGTGTGCCAAAGTGGCTGAAATTAAGTAAGTTCTTCATGTTTTCAACGGATATTTACTGTTTTTAATTATGTAATGGAACTTTTATTCCGTCGAAAATCCCACTCGTAAAATTCCAAGTATACACCAATTAATTGTCGGTAGGTAGGTAGGTAGGTGGCAGGTGGGTTGATGAGATTATCTACAAGTGTTTCTGGTGTTTTATGCTCAATGTTCTTGGTTAGATTGTTAGACTGACATGTATTTAAGAGGTGATTAATGTAACCGTATTATTCCATATCACATTTTATCCTGCTTTCTTTGCTCGAGAGTCACTTGTACTGAGTTAAATATACTAGGTCCTACAACCCTTATATTCTTATTATTCATTCTGACGAACGAAGTTCAGATTATTTATAATGTAAATATCGTTTTATTTCAAATTTATATCCATTATCATTCCTTACAAAAGTTTAATTGCAATCTCGAACCACATAATTCTCTGCCGGATATCTCGGGTTAAATACTGTCACTATTCTTTCCAGAGATGTTAAACTTAAGCTATTGGCAATACTCAAATTGTTTCCTTTTACGAATGTTTAGTAGGCAGAGAGAAAATTGAGTTAATATAATGACTACCATGTCTTTGTTTATTTATCAAAAATTTGTGAATTTCGTCTTTTATTCATTTCTCATTTTCATCTTTTTTTTCTCTCACTTGTTGTTGTTGTTGTTTTTTATTAGAAAAGTGAATTCAATGAACCGCTTTATTCTGCACAAAGTACAAATGCTTTGTCTGACGTTCAATTACCCTCTTTGGAGGGTATAGGAAATTCTAGTGTTTTGCACTGTATTTTGTGAATTCCGTTTGTTTTTCTTTCCTTTGGAGAGATGTTTACAGTGTACTTTTTTATTTTGACATTATTGAAAATAAATGACTCTTAATGCATTCGACTTCTTATTGACGCCTGTTCCGGTGTTAATCAGTTCACTAACCTCATCAGGCTAAATTCCAGGTATAACAATAGTTTCAGTGAGATCGTGAACCGATCAATGTTAGACCATTATAGAAAATATGGAAGCAGTGGACAACCATTTCGTCGTAGATTGGGGCTTCTCAGCAGTGCTCATCCACGATTTTATTTATTTATTTGATCACAAACATTGGTACAAGGAGGCACCAAATATATATGGACCAGATAGATCATTCGATTTGTGTGAGGGCTGGGATACTGTCCGGGTGCCAAAACCGAAACAGGTGGTTTCCTTCGGGGGCCACACCCAGAGCCTTTGACCTATAGGTCCAATCAACAAGGCAGTAGAGCAACGTTAAGTGCAGTTCCGTGGTAGCCGATGACCGATAATAGGTTCATATGCCACTTGTTTCTTTAGGATTCTGGAGCCCATATGCGCTATTGGATTGGAGTCGGTTCCTACTCATCAGAAATTGGTTGTTGTTATTGGTTTACTAAAATACAATATTGGGTCTGGACAAATTGGTTCTTCAACTATGAAACACAAGTGGACAGTGCTCTTTTATATAGTTTATTAGTAATAGATCATATTGGTAAGTGATAATAATGAATCACACCGTTTTATAAATAATAGAATATCAATTGTCGGTACGTATCAGACACGAAATTAAATAGTAATATACTAATTATGCGTTAATGATTGGAGATAGATTATACGAAATTCTTATTGTCAATCGTTGAGGTGCAAACCGTCGGATTAGGCAGATGCCTACTGGTATAAGTACATATCACTTGTGAAAATAGCTCCTCAACTCGAAGTATGGTAGACACTAGGTTCCGACTCATTCATATCGGTTTCAGTGTTCCCTTCCACTCTAATCGAGATTGAACATACCAGAGTCAGTAAATTGAGTTTACTGTAAATAGAGAAATTTCTCGTAAATGAACATTATTTCAGATGTATAGAGCAGCGAAAACAGCAGTTTCTAAACACAAGTCGGTTTTAAGAGAATGTCCGTTAGGAAATTTGTTTGTGGAAGGCGCTTTTGACGAGATTTGATGGCAGTTGTGTGTTTGTGCGTCCACTGTTTGTGTTCTCCCTTCATTTTTTCTCTTTCCAAATTTTTGTCACTGGATTATACTCCTTGAATAACATCTTCAAATCCTAGCCTTTCCAATTACTGCTTATATTTTTACTACCTCTACCACTATGGGATTTGAATCGAAAATTGCATCTCTGTTCTAATGTGGTATGGCAACTTGAACTGATGTATGTACGTACGAAGTTCTACGTTGTTACTGACTGACTTTGTTGTGGCAAAGACAAAATAATGTCTGCTAAAGTATTCTATTTATTAGAAATATTTCAAATTATTGTACTGTAAAAGTAAAAAAAGGTTTCTTTTTAAAATGCTCAGCTGTAACCCATGGACAAATTCCATTTTGTATTCTTTGTCAATGATTCAGTAGTTTTAGTCAATTTGGAGACGTGAAAGGAAGGCTCCATAAAGACCGATCATTTCAAAGAAATACTGTAGTGAACATTAGTTGGTATGTCTCAATTCGGCTTAATGAATTTGTCTATAGTACTGGTCTCATTCGACAAGATATAGGTTGTGTGATTTGGATGGCTTTCGATTCCGTACTATCCTAACACAAATTAGTAAATACTCTGGTACGTTGTCTTCGTAAATTGTCACTTAAGTCATGAATAATAGTTTAAAAAAGTAAACGAGTCTTCTATAAGAAGCATTGAATGCTAAGTGCTTAGTTTGATGGATATGAAAACAGCTAATATGCTCCTAAGTCTTCTATTCGAAAAGGGTAGTTTGTAGAATTGTTTAATTTTTTAGAAATATACCTGTAAATGATGGAGCGTGTTCGTGGTTCTGGAATAATCTTTCTATCCTATACGAGAATGGATTAAGACTGTGTCTCCCCTCCATAATAGTTTTAAAAGTAAAGGAGTCTTCTATAAGAATCATTGAATGGTATGTGGTATTATTACATAGATTACTCATATTTATTCTGATAATATTAAGTCACATTATTTTTCCAGTCAATTACTTGAAGCAGTGACCAGTAGAGTTCAACCAGGTCTGTTGTGTGATAGTAACTCACTGAAGACAATAATGGATGTGCCGTTCAATTTCGTGGATTAGTTGAAGTTAGACATTAAAACCGTTGGATGTCGGCTCAGTAGTCTAGTGGTTAAGCGCTTGCAGGTGGGCGAAATCGTGGATGCACATTGCTGTGGAGTTCTACAATAGGACGAAACGGCCATCCAATGCTTCCAGGTTTTTCATGATGGTCTAGCTTCAATGGACTCATGATCTCAATCCCATTGAAATTACTTCATTGTTATGTATTTTTCGGTCATGTCAGTAATTTTTTTTTAATTTTTCCATTTTGGGGCTAAAAAGTTTTTTTTTGTTGTTGTTTGTTTCCAGACTTATTAGAATAAAAAAAAAATCAATAATCAATATTCATAAATCAAAAAAAAATTAATTTTAAAATATGAAAGTAGCATTTTTAAAACAACCAATGAATGACTCATCATCAATATTGAACAGACTGATTTTATTGATTTTTATTTTAATTTAAATCAATAATTTCAATGTTATCAACAAAGGTGGATAGTGGTTGAAAATGGAATCTATCAAGAGTATTTCATTCTATTTATGATTTATTCACTGAATAGATCTGGATATTAGACTTTGTTGATATTAATTCTGGAACTGGAACCTATTTATTGTTTACTTTAAATCTCATTGTATTATCTATTTAGCTACTACAATTGATCAATTTTTTATTGATGGTATATGTACATATTGTGCGTATTACTTTGATAATGCCTTAACTTACAAGCATTCTAAGCAAAGATAGATTCGAGTACCAGAGTGAATATCAACTCTGAGATACATGTACGTACATCCAACTGATGAGTCCCAAACAGGACGAAACTAGATCCTACTTTTAGCCACTATCCATCTTTGCTTAAAAAAGCCTGTGACTTAAGGCTATATCAAGGCAATCAGCACAGGATTTATTTATACCAATAAGAGACTGATCAATTGCAGTCCTAAATAACAATGATAAGATACAGGCAAACAAATTTTTTTTAAAGTTTTTTTTATTTATTACTTAAACTGATCAGTAATGAGTAGTTTTATAGTGTAAGTTGAAAGTATTTATACCGTGAAGATTTTCACACTGTTCAATTATCTCATCCATATACCCATTCATTATGAAGATCTTTCAGTTTTATAAATTAGAATCAATTTTGTTGTATGACATTATCTTACACTAAATAAAATTGATTATCGTACAATTGTGGTGTGTGCTACTGATGTCCATAGATATAAGTAGTATGTATCATCAATCCAAAGTGAATTGCCTGGCAGTAAAAGGTTAAGAAGATCAAAGAAAAGAGAACGAGAACAAAGAATGATGTTGATGTGGAAACAAATGAACAATGAAGTCTGAGACGAATGATTGACATTTTGCAAATGAAGTAATTGCTGTATGAATCTCAGATATTACTAACATGTTCTATAATTTTATGTTCGAATACATTCGACTTTTACCACTTGTATTCTTGTTCAGTACACTATTCGCTATCTGAAATAGCAGTAGCAAAATTGTTGTAAGTATCAACTGATTTGCACATTTTTATTAGACATAATGCCATACAAATATGAAGTTGAATAAATGCCATGCCTATGTATAAGTGTATAGTTTTATCACTGAAATATTTGTTCAGATAGAGATACTTTTTTTGAAAAGTAATCCGTACATAAGAAAAGCATAAACAATATACTGGTTTACATTCTAGCATTTATATTTTATAATGGTTATAACTTGTGGCCTGTATTCCCTGTTAATGTATAACTTAATGATACCGCCAATTAGAGAACAGTGAATTATCGATCGGATCAAAGACGCATAAAACCCGTGTGAACAGTCTAGAGTCCTTATTGATCCTGCTTCCTGACTGTTAAGTCCAAAAACAGCTATCTCAGCTTCTACGATATGAATCATGTATTTCAAACATACTGAGTTTATATACCAACCAGACAGACCACAACGTACCAACAATTGTACAAGATTTAGCCGAATGTGGCTGTGAATGTCGGAGGTAGTGATTAATAGACAGGACATAATTGAAGAATAGTAAAACGTATAATAATAGTTCATAGGTCAAAATAAAGCTTATGATAAGAGGAACACGAATATGAATAGTTTAGTTATTTAACAATTATACGATAAAAATATACGCATAGTATTTGTCTATAAATGGGTCCCAAAAGTTACCATTCATTATTCGGGATATAACAATAATTCATATCAACAATGGCAATGGATAATAATAGCATAGTATTGCTAAGTGTAAACCATTGGTTACCAGCTAAGTGATTCGAGGTTTAAGCGCTTATTACAAGGTCTAAATGTTCAGGATTTAACCTATGGTGGGATCATGAACTTGTACTGATAATGAAGTACACATTAGGTTAAATTAGCTGTTTAGTATTTCTTGATTTTCAATGGTTGTCTAACTAGAATCAGTCAGCGACTTTAAAATTTCATTTCAATAAGCTCTTTAACCACCTTTTAATAACAAGAATACAGAGATGCTGGGAATTCATCTACATCGTGAAGAAAAAGTGAAGATAACTATTGTGTATAATAAATATTCTCTGGAAAGATTTGACCCAAATATAAGAAACGTTTTAAAAACAGAATCAACAAACGAAGTTAATCAATAATGAGATTCAGTAAATCTGTAATTCATAGATTCTACGATAGACCAAAGTTCCATGATGAACACTGATTGTGTCATTACCTGGAGCACGAACTTACAATTTTTCTAAAGAATTCAACAGGATACTAAAGAATATAGCTGAAACATGTGATTACCCACTGAATTCTTTAAAGTAGCTTTTAGCCAAGATCAAGTATATGCAACTAAACAATT